AGAGAAACGTTGGCAACATTGTGCATAGGCTTAAATAACTAAACTATAAAACCCCTTGCGTCACCATTCAAAACAGTCAGTTAAGTCAAATTGACATACAGACAGCCAAGCCTGTTAAAAGTTATTCGGCCTGCATAATAAAAACCACAAAATAGTGTTGCCAGCTTATGTGATATTTAGTAAAAAGATACATAAATACATACCCGTATTTATAAACAATATTGTACGGATTATATACTAAAAAGTAAATAGATTAAAATTTTTTAAATATGAAACTAGAGAACAGTTGTATGTATACTCAACCTACTTTTCATTACGTATTCGATGGATGTTATAAATGTTATATTATTTCCTTAATTATGATTTATAATTTAGAGAGAATGAGATGGAAGATTAGATTCGTATGGGATAGAAAATTTTTTTAGAAAATATTTATAGAAAATTTGATTCTGTAACAGACTCAGAGTATGATATTGTTTGTAAATCTTAGACTTAAAAAATTAATAATAAATAGATAACCCCAAAGATCTCGCTATATTAGTTTGTAAAAAACCTTTAAACTGTATGATACAAGTGAATCTTGGTACCCTTGTTAACGTCCGAATACTATATTATTATATTATCAGTAGATTATTATCTTGTTAAAAAATTAAAGACGTTTAACAACATATATATGCTAAGAAATTTGTTAATATCTGTTATATAATATGTCTAGTTATTAAGGCCCTGTCCTTTACTGAAAATGCTCAATCTATTTTTTTTTGAAGTATTTAAATTAGTAAAATTTTCATGGTCGGTCGTTTGTAGGCTTTGATTATCATAGTTGCCAAACTGTGTTGCTTTTGTCTCTAATAAAGTCTGAAAACATTCAGATGTATATATGAATTCCACTTCCACTGGGCCTTTGTAAAGATTTTAATATATCTCTCTAAGAAAAACTTATTAATTATTATCACAATAGTGTTAGATACACAGTTTATATCTTATAAGATATACATACTGGATTGTCTATATGTTATCTATGTTATATAGTTTCCACAACAGAATTATATTATCTTTGTCTTGTCATCAAAAAAAAATTTTTTAATTTTTGTGGCAACTCTATGTTAAAATGTCTCGTTAACACAGTAGCAAATCTCAGTATTATAAATTCGAAATGATTACCTTTTTTCTTTTTTCAGGAAAAAATATGTAGAAAAATTTTGTCTGGTTCTAGAAGAAGAGCAAATTTCTTAATTTTTTAATTTTGTTTGCTTAGTTTCGTTCTGTTATGCGTAGTAAAAATGAAAGGTTGGCGAACAATGAAGTAGTTTGTGTACTTATTTTTAAATTTTATTATTTTTTAATTCTATTTTATGTTGAAGGTTCAGTGACTTCGGTTGTAGGTGGATTTGTGATTTGCTTGAGCTATTTGAATAGTGAAATCTTATTATTAATAATATTGTTGTAAATAGTAAATAGTATATAAACTATATGCTTTATTCTTTGTATGTAGAAATATTATGGAATTTTCAAAATTGTATCTTGTATCTCAAATATTGAAAATAATATCTTCAAGTTTTGCAAAAACATGCTTACAGCGCTAGTATGTTTGAGTATGTGTACATTTTCCATTTCATACATTTTCTAGGTTATGTGTAGGCTTTTAACCGCAAACAAGTTTTTTTTTTCTTACTTATTTTGCAATAATACAGAAATTACTAAAGCAAAATGAACAACGTAAAAAGGTTAAGAACAAAAAAGCCGGCACAAAGACAAACCGGCAACAGAAAATATATTTATATACAGTTGTATATATGCATTCGTTTGTAAATTTGTACATATACATATGTTCCCCATATATAGATACGAGTACATAAATGTTTTAGTCGTGGTCCAAACGATGAGCTAATCAGCTTTCAAGTTTGTTGCATGCATGTCTAAAATTGTGTACGTAAATCGGTTTAAATAAGCACCAATAAAAAATGTTATTTAAAACTGTTATTATATTATTAGTTGCATTATTATTCCTATTAGTAAATATGACAATATATTAACAATATTGTTTTTAACTTTTATTTCACATAAAATATATACATAGTTAGACTGAAAACTTTATAGTCACACTTTCGCGGTTCTTAAGTATCAATCATCACAAGATATGTGTTAACAAAAGCGTTAAAGACTTTTAGTTGAATAGTACAATCAGCGCTGTATACATTTTAGGTAGAAAGCTGAAGATAGATATAAGTTTTCAAAAAAGAATATTAAAAGTTTCCTAAACTATAACAGTTCAAACCAATTTCAAAATAATATGTATATAGTTTTTATATTTATGAACAAAGATTTTATATTAATTATTGGACGGACTAATTTGTCATATAACAAGAACACAATTTTGTTGTTTTCTTAAATAGCGATTTTTTTTTTTAAATGAAGTGTTGAAATCAATTAATCTTTATTCGTTATCTACGAATAATTCTTTTCAAATTAACGGACCGTTTTAAAAAATTTTATTCCAATATAATCTAACATTTCTAATATATTCTTGTAGAATGGTTTATTAAGATCTTAAATATAGATCTTAGATCTTAGATCCTATGTGCCGTCGATAAAGGGTGGCACAGAGTTCTGCTTCATAAAATAAAAACGATTCTGCCAATGGAGCACGCAATATTTTTTGAATCTGCAACTTTTGCAGACGATACGGCTCTACTGTACGTAGTAGATACCGAAGCAATTGCAACAAGGAACCTTTAAGCGGCGCTCAACCACGTGCCAGAGCTAATATATGAGCTAATTGGCTATTAAATGAAAAATAAAACTAAATACCCTGAAAACTGTACATGTTGTATTTACATATAAGCAAATAAGACATATAGGTATATGTATATTGATGACAAATAAATTACCTACGCTAATACAGCTAAATACTTGGGTATGACACCTGATGTGAGACTGCTGTGGTATGAACATGTTAATAACTAAATCTTAAGTTCAACTCAATTAAGTGGCTACTTGGACGACATTTATTCTATTACGTTAATCGAAAACAAGCTAATGGTATACAAGCAGATATTACGTTCACTTTGGGTCTACGGATCTCAACTCTGGGATTGCATGTCTGAGTCAAATAGGCACATAATCCAAAGATATCAAAACAACATTCTAAGATCAATTATCAATGCTCCATGGTATGTCCGTAATAGCAACCTTCATTGTGACTACCTTCATTGTGACCTGTATGTTCCGACATTGGCTAAAGCATATAAAAAAAGACTTGAAGTTCACTGCAATACAGAAGCTTGATCACTCCTTCAAGCAGAAAACCTGGTACGAAGACGGCTTAAGAGAATTAAAGTGGCCGATTAAACTAAATCAATCACATAATAATCATTATACTATAATATTATAGATAGGGATATTATCGACTGTTTTAAGTCCCCGATTTAGAAATATTGCTAATTAATTTTTGTTTTATCTAGGTGTAATTAAATAAAATAATAAAAAAAAAATTCAATTGATAATTTTTTTCCGAAGTATCATTTATGTGAAACATTTTGCACTGCAAGTGAAATATGAAGAATAGATCAAATAAAGGAATAATTTGAATTACTATTAGTAGAATTTGACAACGAGTTCTGACTTAGTTCATTATTGTTATGAACTATCAATGAGTTATCAATGTGTTATATTCTGCTCATTCAAAATACAGATACCATACCACTTCTCGACTATTGCGAATATGCTGATTGCCGATTTTTCTTCAAAGTGAAGTTATTGTGCGTGTTATATATAGTTTATGATTACTTTAGCACAAAAAATTCTTCTTCATGATAAATATAAGACACAAATAAAAAAATGCCTTCACGAAGTCAGAAAATTTTTTCAACTACATTCTTAACTTGTTCAGTAATAAATGTCAACTTTTGTGTATTTTAGTAGCAAATTATTACAATTTCTGCATAATGCATAACATACATTTTCGTCATAACCCAAAAGAGCCAATTTTAACGAGCCCATGGTACTCTACATAACATGGTCATTACAGATTGTTAGTACACAATCGTATGTGTCTCAGAGACGAAGTACATTAATTTAAAATTGTTAATTAATGAAACTTTTTTTGTTTTTTAATCTCATTTAATTATTGTAGAGAACAGTTGATAATCTAACATTTTCTGTGGTAATATATTATCTTTCTTCATATCTATGATCTATAAAAGGGCGCCATATATGCGTTCTGCGTTAATCTGTTATAGAAAACACTGTTGCATGTAAATCTGTTGCATCTACTTACATCTTGTTGCATCTACTTACATCTTATTGCATATGTATATATATTCTTATAGTTTTATATTTTTAATAAGAAATGTTTTATATATTTTTGCATAAATATATATGTATATATACTCTATTTTGATGCAAGTACTACAACTTGCGACTACTAAGCATACTCACTATATTCTTAGTGCTTAACTGCACAAGTTGTAAGCGTAAGTATCTGGCAATTGAGAAAATGTTGCTTCTTACTGAATGTTTACGGTATTCGTCCGTCTAAATTTAATTTAATTTACATTAAAAAAAAAGTCAAGTGGAAGAATTTTCATTAAAAAGCCTTGAACTTGTGTGTTGATGCTGATTGTTGTGATTTTAAAAATAATGAAGTTGTGTAGTCTAATTTCGCATGCCTCTTTAAGTAAAATATGCTTGCTTACTTCCTTCAAATAATTTTTTTCTTCTTAAATATATGAATAGATATTTCAAATAAAATAGAGATAAAAAAGTTTTTTTTTATCTTGAAATATAACTATATAAGTAAATAATAAATATGTAATGCCCTAATTTATCCTTAGGCAATGAAGATTTGTTTTTAACACAAATACTACTATTCATATATCATTTCGATATATTCGATTTAAAAAATATTTCTCTTTAAATAATATTGTTTTAAACTATATTTTAAATTTAATTAAATTAAATTTAAATTTTATAACAATCGTTTCTTCTTATTATTGCAGGGCTTTGTAGCTGCCAGTATTAAACGTGAACATGGCGATGAAGTGGAAGTTGAACTTGCCGAAACTGGAAAACGTGTGATGGTCTTACGTGATGATATACAAAAAATGAATCCGCCTAAATTCGACAAAGTCGAGGATATGGCGGAATTGACATGTCTTAACGAGGCATCTGTGCTGCACAACATCAAAGACAGATATTATTCTGGCCTGATTTATGTAAGTAGATAACATTCACATATTTTAATTTATAATTTATAATGTATACACGTATGTGTATATATTTTCCAAATAACTGCAAGTGTTGAAAATTTAAATTGAATTGCATTCGTATTCACATATTCTTATTTTTAACTGATTCAGAAATTAAATGAAACCTAATTTTTGTTCATATTTTGTACATGAAGCATTTTGTGTCTTACCTCATCTTCACTTGTTTTTTTTTTTTGTTTTTTGTTGTTGTTTTTGTTAAGATAAATGGGCACATATACTTACTTGTTTTTACTTATACCCCAATATATAGAAACATAGATATAGTCATATACTTGGAATTACTTTCAACTAGCAGCTGTCCGCAATGTGATTCCAAAGTAAACACCACAAAACATTCGACTCAAAACAAAAATTATTTCTTGCCTTATTCCAAAGTAAATTTGCGTTAAAAGAAGCGACGTTTTTAAAACCAAAGCAAATATTTGATAAAATTTTTACTGATTCGAATTCTATACATATCTTTGTATGATTTGTTTTTTTTTTTAAATTTAATTGTATTTACAATTTTATGAATTTATTAATACATATGAGTCAGGTTGTAATGACAAATTACTTAAATATGATTGTAGTTCTTACAAATATAAGTCCTCCTTGTTTTGTCATAGGTTTTTAATGCACAGAAATATGTAAAATATATATTGAACACTAAGTTGAAAAGAGTTAGGTTACTATCACATAAATTATTTCTTAGAGTTCTTACAACCTTGATGCTGATATATGCTTTTCACATATTATAAATCTAATAATAAGTATTAGAAGTGGTAATGGTACACCGTGAACTATGTAAATATAAGATATTAAGTCGATTTACTTAACAATTAATCAAAATAATTGTTATTCACCTGTAATTAAAACTCAATAAAACTACTTTGTTCTATTAATTACTTAATTAATAAAAACGATGCAAGTTGGGTTTTTATAAAATGTAGTCTGAAATTTAAACTTTTATAAACCATAAGACATTTGAATGTAGGCGTTTCTCATTGTTAGAGTAAATAAAAAAATTTTACAAATTCAAATCCACATTATTCGGTTATATTATTTTTTTATTTTTCGCATATGTATTTTTTGAATATGTATCTTATTAACGTTCTTTCAACTCTATTAAAATTCATAACACAAGTTGTTTTAATCACAAAATTATGTGTTTTTATTTCTTGAAGCTTCTATTTTCATATTCACATACATATATTTATTCCATTGTTTATCGAAATTCTTTATTTCTTTTCTTTTGGATTTGATTTAGAAGATATAAATTTCTAATGAAAAATTAATTCAACACTGAAAATAGAATATATGTAAAAATTTTTTTCAAACGTAGTGTAAATAAGAATATTTGACAATAATTAGACAAAATGCATTTAATTAAATTTTATATAATAATCAGTAGTTATATTAATTAATGGTATTTGTGTTTAAAAGTTAAGTTTTGGAACTTAATTGTAAACGATAGATCTATATTTTAAAATGATGGCTACCACAACAAATCTAATTACCCTAAGCTAATGCACATACGGAATAGACTCTCGGGAATGTATATCCTTACGAAAGAAGCAATTAAACTCTGTGAATTAGGTTCTGTACTCCTCTTTATCGTAGCAACAGGGCTTGGAAACATACCCTAAGCCCAGAAGGGAGCATATTAGTCCCGACGATCGCAGTGTCATATCCCGTACTAATAATAATAGTAGTTATATTAATGGAATGGAATTTGTTTTTAAAAGTTAAGTTTTGGAACTTAATCTGCATCTTTAAAGGATGTATACCAGAAAAAAATCTAGTAATCTAATATGTTGCTAATCTAACTAATCTAACAGTTTTTAACATAAAGCTTAAAGTGTCAAAATGGGAAATCTTCCTATATTCCTATGTTCATATATTGAGTTAAAATAATATATACTGAAAAAATCTGAAATGTATATGCTGAAAATATTAGCATATAAGCCAACAGTCAGATTATAGTAAAGTTAAAGGGTGTTTAGTAATCTTTTTCTTTAATTAAATTCTAGTAGAGCATTTTTTTTAAATAATATTAGTAAGGCATTTGGACCTTTCTTAGTAGTGTAATGTAATATAATAAAGATAAAGGGTGTTTAGTAATCTTTTTTAATTAAATTCTAGTGAAGCATTTTATTCTTGATATGATAAGTAAGGCTTTTTGATCTTCTTGTTAATGTAATGTAATATAGTAAAGGTAAATGATGTTTATTAATCTTCTTCTTTAATCATATTCTAGTGGAGTATTTTTTGATAAGAAAAGTAAGGCCTTTGGACCTTTCTTCATAATGTAATAGGAAATATAAATCTATAACTTTGTTTTTTTTTTATGTGTGTCTTATGACGAGATTGAAAGCGAGATTAGGTCAAATTTCGCAAAGTTTTAATTTTAATTTTACTGTTTCTCCAAATATTATTAAACGATTAACGTTTTAGTTGATGCGACCTGTATGGCTTTGCTCTACAGCTATCCAAGAAACTGCATATAGCATATATATTATTGGAATTATTGTTTTAATGATCTTAAGTTTTAATCTCGTGTTAAAGGTCTATACAGATTTGGCTCACTAGACACACCTCGAAGATATTTTTATGAGATTTTTTTATGAAGAATTCTTTTCTTACATTTTCTATTAATTATTTTATAACAACTCAATTTTTTGATATTTTAAATAAAAAATGATAATAAACACGCGTCACCAAAAGACACAGCACATTGCAGCGAAATTTTAGACAAAGGCACCCATTGATGTTGACTGCAAATTTTTATGTTGACACACCGTCACGTTGTACCCAAAGTTTTAGCCGTGCTGACAAACAGTCTAATTGTTTAAATGGCGTCAATCTGTTGCATTTAAAAACATATAAATTTTGTTTATAATTTTATAATTTAATGACTTTGATATCATTAAATATTTCTATCAAATGACACAACATGACAATTGTGCGGACATTTTTAAAATTGCCAAAATTATTATTAGCAAATACAACATTTATATTGCAATTTTGTAGTGTATTTACACATATAAATTTTATTTATTGTACTCGCAAATATATATACATATATATACTTATATTATATATATTTTTATTTACGTAAATATATTCATGTTGAAATTCTTGAAATAATGTTTTAATTTATTGCCAATAATATAATTAGATAATATAAAAGTCTTTTAAGGTTTAAATGTTTTCGATGTTTTTAATTAGATTTTAAACAAATGCATTAATTGCAAGAAATTTTTAGCACTTTTTATACATCGGTTTCAAAATAAAATAGAGTTTATAAGTAAAATTTTAGTGATATTTTAGTATTTTTTAATATATTTTATTTTCGGATAGAGGTCACATCTCCTTTCGACTCCCCTTGAGAGTCATCATTAGAATAAGAACTAATTAATAAACATTAATAAATATTAATAAAATATAATATATATCAATTCGTCATATTATTAGTTCTGTTGTCCATATTGTTAAATTAAAAAACATATTTCCATCGTAAAGTCTCTCAGGCAAAAAACTTTTCAGCCATTTTACCTACAGATAGGCAGATAAATGAGTATGTGAAAATCATTTAATGTCATCCTCGGGGAGGTATACAGATCTGAGGTCAATTATTGCTTAGTCTGATGAAGTGATAAACATTAATCCAATCAAAGCATAGAGAGGGGTTATGACGAAATCTCACAGTTAATAGAGAGTAAAAGTGCTCAAATGCACTGACTCAACTATCCTCAACATAATATATACATATACTATATTTGGCCTATCTTGTTTTCTTTTCTGCCTTATAAATATTTTGAAAAATGCAACTTAACAAATATATATACAAATAGATTGCAAAATTTTCTTTTATATTTTTGAAATGCTAATTTGTTGATTGCAAGCACAATCAATTGCAATAAATTAATTAGAGAATATTTAAAATTGCCAAATATAAAATTATTTATATATAGATTTAAAATAGAGATGTTGCTTTAACCCAGTCGGTCGCGGCGGTGCAGTTTAATTTTTCACTTCCAAGTCACTTGGAAATTTTATGTCTACATGTTTACGTTCGATTATAGTTGTATAGTGTTGGTTTCCAGCTCAGTTTATAACATATTATTTAAATAAATAAATATAATTTATATTTTACTAACAACAATGAGTAATTTCACAGTACAACTTTCAGCTAGCATTTAATGGGCAAATACTAGTCGTTTTTTATTTTTGCAATTTGCATATGTGTATCTAGCAAATGTTTAACCAAATGTGAATATATAATGTTAATGTACATTAACATTATTTTCACATATATATATATATATATATATATATAATATTTATAAAAATTGTTTTGAGTTTTCTCTAGGCGAGTTCTTAGTTAAGCTCTAATATATATATATATATACAAATATATATGTACATACAAATTTGGCTAAATAGATAAATAAAATAATTTAAAGTGAACTAAGCATGCCACATTTGGTGGTAACTAAACAAGAAATTTATATTCTGCTTCGTTGCATTTGACGTAATTTTGCTCTACAAGAGTTTAGAAATTTTATGAATGAATTCAAATAAATCTTCTGTCTTAAAAATAAATTTTTTAAGTTGTTAGAGATAAAAAAAATTAAAATGCAACGTAACAAGATGAGACGTTTTTGAACTTGGTACCCATATAATGTAATTTTGATATAAATATGATTATTTTTTATGTTTTTTATTTAGTTTTGAAATTATTACACCATTCGCTCATTTTTAAAATAATTTCAAATGATAAAGAAAATTTTATTCTTTATATTTTGTTTGTTTATAATAAAACAATATATACCATATATAATTAATATACCACAAAATATTTTACTCATCATCAGTGAGTGTAGGTATGTTATGACTATGTAAAAAGTCAAGACCCTGCACCGGCTAATTCAACCCACTATGCAGAGGCAAATAAACAAATAAAC